CTACTTCACTCTCCCCTTTTCACTGCGTACTCTGCCTGGCTGGCGCTTCCCCAAGAAGCTAAGGACCTTTCTTCCCTCCGCCTTTTTAAGAGCCTTGTCGCGCCTTGACTTTGATTTTGTGTTTCTCATTTTGTTGCAATCACTACTTATCCATGCCGGTTCCTTTTTTTCTTCTCCTCCCCTTCTCCCTTCCTTGCCGTGGTTGGCTAACACCCTCTCTCTTTGTATTGGCCGGTGTTCTCACTGTGCTATGAGATGCTGCAATAACGTAGAGATACGTGAAACTCGGAGTTGTGACAAAGCTTCCAAACTCTCTCTTGTGTAAAAAAAATAAAAAAATATCTATGAATGGAGTTGTCATTGTGTGCAGATTGTCAAATTTCATTGTCTTTTTATTTAAAAATTTGTTTGTTTTAAACTGGCAATAAATAAGATCAATTGTGCACTCATAACAACAGCACAAATGAAGAAAGTCAAGTTCCATAACGTTTTCTTGTGACTGTCATCAGTGGAACGCCGTCACATAAAAATGTAATAACTAAAACACACACTTATATACATGTAGCTAATATGGTTTCAGGTTTCATGTTCAACTGTAGTTGACGAGTGTGGTAGCGAGTTTTTTACGTCTGACGTCTTGCTCCCCCAACCGGGAGCATGGCGTCCATTGACTTCGGAATTTTGGATAGTGAAGGCTTGGAGTCACTGGCAAAGGCCAATAACATCAAGTGGGCCGGCCTGAGCCGGGTGCAATTGGTAGGCGCCCTGAGGGGAAAGTTGCAACCACTGGAGGATCAGATCGACACACACAGAGTCACAAAGCAGGCAGGCGGATGTGAATGTACCAGTACTGATGCTACTGCGCTAACGAAGATGATGGTTGACCTGATGGAGACGGTCCGAAACCTGGTAGCAGAAGTTTCTGACCTACGAAAAATCTCTCTCGAAAAGGAGAAAAGAAAAGATGCCGCCATTGCAGAACTCAGGGAGGAGCTTTGCGCCCTGACACAACACCACCAGCCCATCGATGTCTCTAATCGCGCCCTCGACAGCCACCAGGATGAGTACTCGTACCGAGCAGCTACAAACATTCCCGCCACGGGTGTACCAGTACCCGCATCCGCACCAACAGGGCTTGAAACCGCAGCTCTGGGCGAGACGTACGCTAGTCGTACCTTCTCTACACCACGAACAAGCAACGCCAGTCGTACTACTGACAAGCCTGTCAGCACCAAGTACGACTGGTCGATCGTACGCGAAGCCGCCAACCGCCACAGGAAGCCCGCAGATCTGCGTGGAGGTAAGAAAATAACACGCAGAGTTGTATTCGTTGGGGGCATCAATATCAACTGCAGTGCTGATGATCTTGTTGCGTACTGTAGAAAGAAGAATGTGGAAGTTACTGGCTGTAAACTGATCCCCTCCAGAACAGTGTATGGCACGTTGTACGCACATCTGACAGTTGCCGAGCATGACGAAAGAAATGTTCTGGAAAACGATTTCTGGCCCGAGCATGTAACAGCACGAGAATGGAAGTTCAAGAACCCACCCCTCCCCAAGAAATCATAAACTGTGATGTTGAATCCACACGCACCCATCTTTTTTCCCACTAGGACCACATCGACACTATCATCTAACAGTGTGTCAGGGCAACTGAACCCAGATGCACCTACCTTCACTCTCCCATCACCATACGATACCTCAGCCTTCATACCAAACAAACATCCCCATCATATGCGGCTAGCCACAACCAATGCTTGCAGCTGGTATCCAAAGGCCGATGAAATTAATAACATATTTGGTACTTCAGACATGGACATATTAGGCATCACCGAAACCTGGCTAACTCAGAAAATTCCTAACTCTGTATTATTGCCAACTGCCGCTTTTGACATAGTGCGAAGAGACCGCCCATCTCATGTTGCTCTGCGTGGCGGTGGTGTTGCTTTCTTACTCCGACCAGGACTCGCCTACGTCAGACGAGCAGACCTCGAGCCTGCCAACACCAACCTTGAAATCCTATGCATTCAACTTAAAAATGGCCACAAAGATGTCTATATTTTCTGCTGTTATCGGCCACCAAGGCAGGATCATTCAACTTTCCTCTCTGGCTTGCGTGAGTCCATCTCTTCCATTACGGACACTACGGCTTCCATTATCATCCTCGGTGACTTTAATGCTCGGCACAACGAATGGTATAGGCAGGACCCGAACACTGCTGCTGGAAGATGCCTTGTCGAACTGCTGGATGATACTGGTTTTACACAACTTGTGCGCGACCGCCCAACACGTTTCTCCGCCGCAGGTCAGAGCTCTTCTCTCCTGGACCTTGTTCTCTGTAACCAACCATTCCTCATCCACAACCTCACCACACTTCCCCCTGTTTCTGATCACTGTCCTGTGGTATTTGATCTCGCAATACAGACTCGTTCCCAGCAACCAGTGCACTCTGATTTGCTCGTGAACAACTATGCAGCCACAGACTGGCCCGCACTTAATAACCACCTTTGGAGCCTCCCTCTTCTCGCTGCTGTACAAGAAGCCAGTAGTACAGATGAAGCATGGGTCACCTGGCGAACACTAGTTGACACAAGGTTCGAAAACGAACAAATCGTTATGGAAAGCCTTGGTTCACCTCTGTGCACCATCGCCTCCGTCAACGTCGAGATCGACTATTTGCTGCAGCAAAACGCGTCAATACCCCTGAGTGCCGGGCTGCTTATCGCATTTCAAGGAACTGCCTCGTCGCTGCCATCCGTAAAGCTAAACGTCACTTCTACGACCAGATGTCAGAAGGCCTTCATGAAGATCGAGGATCTTATGACTGGTGGAAGAGAGTCAAGAATATGTGCCACATCAATTGTCCTCACACCGCTATACCTGATATACAAGGAGTCGATACCTTAGCGGTTACCGACCCTGAGAAAGCGAACATATTCTGTCAACAGTTCGCCAAGAATAGTCAAGCTACACCGTCGTCGGATGCAGATCATCGTGATCTCGCCATGCCTTCTTCTTCGGAAACATTTGCCATCCGCCCTCTGTCTATCGTAGAAGTATTCAAGGCACTGTCGACCCTAAGTGTGCGAAAGTCTACAGCTGGCAGTCTTCCTAACAGGATCCTACGAGAGACAGCAGAAGTGCTCGCCCAATCCCTCACTGCTCTCTTTAACCGCTGCACCACTTACCGATCTCAACCCCTTGAGTGGAAAGTTGCAATCGTTACCCCAATTTACAAGGGTAAGGGAAGTCGCAATGACCCTGCTAACTACCGGCCGATATCTCTGCTGAATGGTGTGGCAAAATGCTACGAAGCGTTAATCAGCCGCCAGGTGTACACGTTTGTAGCGAAACACAAACTACTGTCGCCGAAACAGTTCGGGTTTCGCCACCACCGAAGCACGGTTGACCAACTTGTGCATATCACATCAACTGTCAGCTCTGCATTTGATAACCGGGCCCAGTGTGATGCCGTCTTTCTCGATTTCTCGAAGGCATTTGATCGTACCAGCCATCGCCTCCTAGCCTCATGTCTGTCCGGTTGGTGTGCACCTGACTCATTCGCGTGGCTGATGGACTTCCTGGAAGGCCGATCGATGTCTGTGCGGGTCGGAACCTCCTTATCAACCCATATGTCGCTCACCGCTGGTGTGCCACAAGGCTCCCACCTAGGCCCTCTATTATTCAACCTTTCTATCGACTCCCTTCCCAGCATTCCCAAATCCAGCGATCTGACTCTGTTTGCGGATGATTCCAACATGGTCTGCGTTTCTCCGCCTACTGTCGTACCCGCCGCGCACACTGCCTCCCTGCAACTAGACCTTGATAGATGTGTGAACTGGTCCCATAAAGCTGAAGCAGGTTTCAATACTAACAAATGTGTCCATGTTCCCTTTTGCAGACCTAAATCAAACCCACCTGATCCCAGGACCGTCACCATGGCCGGTACGTTACTGACCCAGCCCTCTTCCCACCGCCATCTGGGCATCATCCTCACTCCTTCACTCAATCTGTCCCCCCATATTCAACACATTACCAGCAAATTTCGATGTCGGGTTTTTCTTTTAAACCACATGTCCAACTTCCTTCCTTTTCCTGCTGTGAATCTTTTGTATAAATGTTATGTTCGTCCCCTCCTTGAATATGCTGTTCCCGTTTGGATGTTTTCCGTTTCAGCCACCATGTCCACAATCCTTGATAAACTGCAGGCTACTGCTGCTAGAGCATACCTAAATAGTAAACTCAAGCGTCGGCCTGACTGGACGACTTCCAAAGAAGACCTCAATGTTCTGTCCTCTTGGGAATCTTTAGCATGGCGACGGCAGATTCTTGGCCTTGTCTATTTCCACCATGTATTCTCCCAATACCCCTCCTTGTTGTCTCACTTCCAGCTACCCTCTTCCCAAAGCAGTCGTCACCCTTCATCCATAATTCTTCCTAAAGCTGGCACCTTCTTTCGTAAATCAACCCTTTTTTCTTTGAGTGTTGCCTGGAATAAACTTCCTGAAGATATTCGTTCACTCTCTACAACAGCGAAATTTAGTATTGCTGTTCGTCGGTATCATTCGCAATCTATGTTTTCTTTGAAAGGTATTCCTGACTTTTGTGTCTAGGCTAACCACATCTATGATAGTTTTTTATACATTCTTATTTGGGTACAGTCATACGGTACATACCCCCCCCCCCAACACACACACACACACTACTACTACTACTACTACTACTACTATAGCATGACTGCCTCGTAGGGCCACCGCACATCGGTGTCTAAAGCTTGATTCACATGAAGTCTTCATTTCGTGTACGGGAAACGCGTCGCAGCATCGCGAAAACATTGACTTGAGCTCAACGTCTTGGGTAATTGCGCCATGATTTTCCAGTACGCGAAATGAGGTATGAATCAGCTTTAACAGCACAGGGGTCACGTGACCAGCATGACGCTACACTGTCCACTGAACAATGCAGTGTGCCAGTACACAAACCAGTCTACAGTGTGGAGATATTGAACTACACAAGTACTCGAGTACCGTACTCAGTTTATACAGTCATAATATACAGTCATGAATTGGAGAACAGCATCCAGTTTTACTATCACTAGTATCAGCTATATGTGCCAAGAGAAGTAGTCAAACACATCACTGGTAATAACATATCACCTGAGTTATGGGAAACAGTAGGAAGAAAACGGGTGCAGAATGCAGTGGAAAATAATAATTTTATGCAGTCCATTACATGGACAGCAGCAAAAACGAGGCCAGTATTTATTATAGTGCAACATGGATACCCAGACGAGTATTTGTGTATGAATGTGATCATGAACAAACACACAGAGAAAGTACCGGTAAACCATGGTCTTTTCATTTCTCTAGTGAAATTGAAGTAGTCACCAGCAGTTATTACCGCAAGAAAATACCATGAAAACTTGCCTAGCCTAGCGGTGTGTAAAATTTAAAATACACAATGATTCGTGTGGTTGGGGAAGGATAAAGGGGGAGGGGGAGGGGTGATAAGGGAGGGGGAGGAGGAGGGATGATAAGGGGGAGGGGTGATAAAGGAGGGGGTGGGAGGGGGGGGGGGACAACGTTACTTCTCCGACAAGGAAGGTAGAAGTTTCAAGACCAAAACAAAAACAATTGAGAAGAGAACAATTATTGATGAAATGGATATGTTCCATCTTCATTCACCTTGTGTACTGTCTGAACAGATAGACATGTACAATGTACATCTTGACAATCCTCTGCATTCTGCATTCAACACAATCATACAGAAGACACCAAAACAATGACATCATCGTATTACATCATCACCGACCAGGTGACTTGATACTTGAAATCATGATTACATAGCAGGGACTACCAGCATCAGTTTGTATGATTGTTTTTAAAAGATAACATCATTGGCAGGTTACAAAGAACAAACATTAATTTCTGCATTTCCTGCATCTCAGCAAGAAGGGCATACTGATGTATACATGATGATTGGACGGTGTATGGATGGATAGCAGTACTTGAAAGATAGCAACGGTCTCAGCACCGGTCTCAGCTAGTACACTTCCTGTTCTCTGGTACCCGACAGTAGAGGGGTTGCGCACAACGAAAATTCGTAAGACCATGCCCGTCCGGGTTCGAGAAACGAAAGTTGGCGCGAAAATTCGTCCAAACGCGACCGCAAGAGACCAGATCTACGAAATTATTTTTCGTCATATGGAATAAGTAAATAAGTAAATTATCGTGTCCGTTCCCGAATGGAACTCATGACGGCCGCTAACACCCGGTAAACCCTAGCGGCAGATGCAGCGCTGCAGCCCACAGTCAACTGGGAACTTGTGGCCAGGCACATGGGATACATTGATGCAGCTAATGGCGTTTCTCGGCACTTGTACCAGTGGTTGTGAGACTTATCCACTCACCCCCACCGTCCTATGCAGTACATTGTACATACTACTCCCTGTCTTCACTCTCTTCGTACCCGCAGCGCTAGCATCGACCCAATGCGAAAAAGTCTGTACGTTGTGCGCAACCTCAAGGCTAACGAATACCGTACTCCTTTAATTGTTTCCTTAAAAAATTCTGTTACCGGGGAGGGGGGGGGGGTACTTGGACCCGTTTGAAAACAGAACACGGGATCAGTTGTAAACCGGTTGGGAGTATTTTACATGACATGTGGAGTACTGCAGGCACATACATGCAGTTACGTGGGCAGAGTGTCCAGTGTACATTGTCTATACATATACAGCTGGGAGTAGTACAGTGTTGCTAATGTGTGTACAGTGTTGCTAATGTGTGTACAGTGTTGCTAATGTGTGTACAGTGTTGCTAATGTGTGTACAGTGTTGCTAATGTGTGTACAGTGTTGCTAATGTGTGTACAGTGCTGCTCAATGAAATCCAATAGAGTCACTCTAGTTCGCGCCTTGCATCACACCGCAGCTCAGTGTTCACAGGTCTGTGACTGCACAACAGCAGGCGTGTACTTGAGTGAAGTGACTGGATTTCATTCAGCACTACTCTACATAAGCCGTATAAGCCGGGGTTGAAACCATGCTTCTATTCAAGTTATGCTTCTATTGAAACCATGCAGTTGTACATGTGAACATCATCAATGTACAGTGTACAGCATACATTGGCACACATGTAGTCAGCTAGTACATGTGATTACATTCAAATCAGGATTCTGTGCCATGACTGAGCTTTGGAAAATCAGCTTCTATTCCAGTCATGCTTCTATACAGGTCATGCCTTCATACGTGACACTACAGTATATAGTGCTGGCAGTGGTTGACAAGAGCAGTTCTGTATAGACATACACACATCCTCAGAAAACCTTACCTTCTAGTAATGAACAGTAGACAGTAATGTTCAGGTCTCCTACACCAGCAACCTGATCATCCACAACACAGGTAACCATAACAACAGCTCCTGCAGAAACATGAGCCATGGCATGCACAGTAACAGCCGCAGAAACAGCAGCAACAACAACAAAGGCAGCGATAACAGCCGCAGAAACAGCAGCTGCAGCAACAACAGCAGGAGAAAGAAGTCACCGAGTTAGCAACAGCATCAACAGCAATAATAGCCACAGCAACATCAGGTGCAACAGCAACAGCATTGTGCAGGCGGATAAGCAGAGTTGCAGGTGAAGGCACACACACACACACACACACACACACACACACACACACACACACACACACACACACCTACACACACACACACACACACACACACACACACACACACACACACACACACACATAGTTGTACACACATTGCTGTATGAAGGAGTGGTCTAAACATTCACAGTTCAACACTCCAGGTCATGATGCATGGACAACACACGGAGTAAAGCATATGAGAGAGTGAGATGAGTAGAAAGGGAAATTTGGAAATAAAGTCATTCCAATGTGCACCATACTGACTACAAAGTCTACAATACAATTACACTGGATCTTTGACTCCTGCCGGGGATGGGGGAGAGAGGGGAGTGGGGGATGGGGGAGGGAGGGGAGTGGGGGAGGGGGGGGGGGGGGGGAGCGCTAAGAGATGTGTGAGGAAATAAAATTACAAACAAACTGTACCTTTCCAATATGAACCATACAGTCTTCTGTTCAGTCACCCAAACAAATCATTTCCACAACTAGAAGATGTCCTGCAAGACCACAGCAGAAGCACCTACAGCAGTAACAGCAAACACAGCAATGTGTCGAGAAATCACCTCTGAACCACTCACAACAGCAAACATAGCAATGTGTCGAGAAATCACCTCTGAACCACCAATAACAGCAAATCTAGTAGCAACAACAGCAGCAACAATAGCTGCAACAATAGCTTATTGGCAATGGTACCATCGTGAAAATATAGAATTCAAATAGCTGCAACAACAGCAAGACTAATAACACCAACAGCAAAAGCAGCAGCAACAGCGACAACAGCACCAGAAACAGCAACAACAACAGCAAGAGAAAGAGCAGCAGCAGCAACAGCAGCAACAAGAGCAGCAACAACAGTAGCAGCAGCAACAGCAGCAACAACAGCAACAACAGCAAAAGCAGCAGCAGCAACAGCAGCAAAAACAGCAGCCACAACAGCAGCAGCGACAACAAGAGCAGCAACAGCAGCAACACAAACAGCAGAAACAGCAGGAATAACGACAACAACAACGGCAGCAGCAGGAGCGGAAACAACAGCAGTAGTAGCAACAGAAGAAGCAGCAGCAACAGCAACCGTAGCAACAGCAGACACAGCGACCACAGCAGCAACGGTAGGAACAGCAATAGCAGACACAGCAGCAATACCAACAGCAGCAATAGTAGCAACAGCAGCAACAACAGCAGTAGCAGCAGAAACAGCAGTAACGGTAGCAACAGCAATAGCAGACACAAGAGCAGTACCAACAGCAGCAATAGCAGCAGCAGCAACAACAGCAGCAATAGCAGCAGCAACAACAGCAGCAATAGCAGCAGCAAAACCAGCAGCAACAGCAGCAGCAATAGCAGCAGCAGCAACAGCAGCAGCAACAGCAGCAGCAACAGAAGCAGCAACAGCAGGAGCAGCAGCAGCAGCAGCAGTAGGAGCAACAGCAGAAGCAACAGCAGGAGCAAAAGCAGCAGCAGCAGCAAAAGCAGCAGCAGCAGCAGCAGGTCTAGAAACAGCAGCAATATCAACAGCAACGACAACAGTAGCAACAGGTGAAGATAAAACAATCTGCAGTCCTTTCCCCAGTCCTTTTCCCAATTCCACCTGTTTTGATTATAAGTTTGAACACATCTAAATAGGGAAAGAAGAGAGGGGCAAGATATTGTAGTTAACAATAAGATTATATTTTTCTACAATCTGTACCTTTCTGCATTGCAGCAATATCATCCAGGTATGTGTACGTCATCAGAAACCTCACTGATCTGCATACATCTGATTCCTGTTGCCCAGGACCAGAGATGAAGCAGAGGAATAGTACAGCTACTGACATCACCATGAGTCATGATCTCTATCACAGCAGCATCACACTCTCAGCAACTGTACTAGCAACTGCAACTGCAACAGAGGGATAAACAGGCAAGCAGCGGAAACAACAACAGCAACAGCAGCAATAGCATCCGCAGCAGAAGCAGCATGACCAGCACAGCCAACACCAGCAATAGCAGCAATAACAGTGTCAAGATCAGCAGCAGCAGCAGCAGCAACAGCAGAGAGACAGACACAACAGTTTGAACAAGCAGAGCCACCATTCCTTGCTGTCACGAGAAGTAGAGTTTGGAGAGAATGACAGGAAAGAGAAGGAATGAATGTGTACCTAAAGTGAAAACAAAATGTCTCTTCCAACCCTGTGTATAGCTGGACATGAAAATATACACAGAGGCTTACGTACGCTGCAGACAAGAGTGGTGATCTAGATATGCAGTGGTTAAAACTTAGATACCTCACTTTGAAATGTATAGACAACACAGGTAGGAGTATGAGAGTTGTTTGTAACGAGGAGAAGTTGAAGTAAAACAATTATTCCATGCACAATTCTCCCATTATACAATGCTAGTCCATGTGAATATGGGTGCTGTGTGATGGGGGGGGGGGGGGGGGTGCTAACAGTGCAGGGGTGATAGTTAATTTAAAAAACTGTACCTTTCAATACTGAACCATCCCGGCATCCGTCCATCAGCCAACAGATCACTTTGCATATGGAGACCATGGCAGAACAACCCGCTGCAATAAGAGCAACCACGCCGCCACTGCGGAAAGTACCCCTGAAACAGCAACAGCAGCAGCAGCAACAACACCAGCATTAGCGAACGCAGCAGCACAGCAACAGCAGCAGAAATAGCAGCAGAAGCTACAGTAGAGGTCTTGCCAGCACAGAAAGAGTAAAGTTCATGCCGGCACAGCAACAGTACAGGTCTTGCCAGTACAGAAACAGTAGAGGTCTTGCCAGCACAGCAACAGTACAGGTCTTGCCAGCACAGCAACAGTACAGGTCTTGCCAGCACAGCAGCCACAATAGTTTCCAGCACATCAATAGCTGCAGTAGCCACCAGTAAAGAAACACTTGCACTATAGCAGTATCACCAGCAGTAAACGTCACATTCAGAAATGACAGTACATGACCAGCCGTCTTCAAGTTCACACCAAAACTACCACAGTGTGGTCATGTGACCGGGGATTATTTTCAAACCAGATCCGTGCTATACTAGTTTAAACCCACCCATATATGGAAACAGGAGACGGGCAAGGGAAAGTAGCTGACAAAAAGAAATCCTTAGACACAACCTGTACCTTACTAAGATGCAGCTCTGCCATCCAGATTTCTGCCCATCATCTGAGTACTCGCTGACACACACGTAACGGATCACTGTTCAGCACAGCTGACCAGGGAGGGAGCAGCAGTAAAAGTAGAGACACTGGCAACGCTATCCGAAATATACCCTATGACAGCACGTGAAAACACACACACACACACACACACACACACGCACATACAGAAAAAGAAGTGATTGCCTGAAGCAACATCAACAGCAGCCACAGAAACAGCAGAAACAGCAGCAGTAGCAGTAGAGTTAGGAGGCAGAGATAGCAGCAGCAACAGCTACAGGAGCAGCAGCAACAGCAGCAGCAGCCACAACAGCGAGAGCAACAGCAGCGAGAAGCAACAGCAGCAAAGCAACAGCAGCAGCAAAAACAGCGACAGCAACAGCAGCAGCAACTAAAGCAGCAAGAGTAACACACAAACACATACACACCTGTCCTGTCCTGTTCTATCGAGCCACTGCCACAAGGGTCACGTGGGCCTGGAGTAGCAACGGAGAGAGAAGAGGAGAACGTCGTCCAACGGTGTCCAGGACACAACGAGAGGTCGCCAGGATTCAGGTCACCTAGGACTGTTACCCCAAGACTGACGTATGGCCGGGGGAGAACCTGAGCAGCGGTGTTTATTCCTGCCCTGGACCGAATGGAAGCAGCGGCCGCAGGACGCACAGTGCGCGCCACAACAAGCCTGCACTGCGGCTGGGGACTGAGCCACACACTTGTGACGGGCAAGGCCAACACACACACACACACAAACACACACACGAGCAGGAACAGTAGCACAGAAAGCACAGCACAGAAAGACAATGGAGTCAGGAGAAATAGCACCACCAGTAGCAATGTCAATGGTTTAATAATACTTCAGAGATTGCCCAATCGTATACATTTTATAAGAAGATGTAGAAGTACAGTTGATGATACTCTTTGACATACCTTGTAGTAGTCACATCCATCTGCTACACAGCTACAGAAATAACAGGACGACCGCTCTGCTGTTGATACGATAACACAAACATATCTGTAGCAGTGCAACGGGAAAATTCAGAAAGAAAAACACAAAACAAAAAGCAGCAACATGCAGTTGCATAAATAGAAGCACCAGCAGCAGTAACAACAGTACAAGCAGCACCACCAGCAGCAACAGTAGCAGCAAGAGTAGCAGCAACAGTAGCAGCAACAGTAGCAGCAATACCAGCAGCAGTAGCAACAGTTACGGGACCATCACCATCACTAGTAGGAAAAATGACCGGGTCGAGCACTCGTCTGCAGTACAGTACGGCATCATGGAGTCATACGAGGATACAATCAATCACTTCCCTGACAAAAAGTCAGGGAGGGGCGCATGGAAGAGACGGGGCGCTCTGGTGGGATTTTACGGTATATACCGGTATGGTGTGTGTTGTGAAATCCTAGCCAGTACAAATATCATGACTCTACAGTACTATAATCACATAATACATTTCTGACTTGTTAATATGGTAAAATTAGAATTCTGCAAACACACCGATATTCGCATCACTAATTTTCGCCATTTCTTAGAACCAGGGAGATTACAATGGATAATGTTCGCAAATCAATGTGGCCACTTTCATAAACTCACTGTTAAATTTTGACTTCGCTCTGGTCAATCAAAACGAGTCATGTTACTCTCTTGTCGTGAAAATAGCAAACAATAATGTGTGGTGAATATTGTACAGTTACCAGTAGTAACAAATAGCAGATTATCAACAATAGAAAGTCTACTTACTCACTTCACTACAGTCTTCTGGCAGATATACTTGCATTAGAGCGTTCGGCACACAACTACCACCATCTTTGCCCTCCAATCCTGTGATTTCCCCCGGCAGACGAATGCTACTGAATGCCACCGAGAAATCACCTCCTCTGAATCACCAACAACAGCTACAATAGCTGCAACGAGAATAATAGCAGCAACAACAGCAGCAACAATTGCTTTTTGACGATGGTACCATCGTGAGAATAAAGAATTCAAATAGCTGCAGCAACAGCAAAGACTAATAGCACCAACAGTAGAAACAACAGCAGCAGCAGCAAAGAAAATAACCGCAGCAGTAGCAGTAGCTCCAACGACGGCCGCAAGACTAATAGCACCAACAGCAGCAACAACAGCAACAGCAAAAGCAGCAGCAACAGCGACAACAGCAACTGCAACAGCAACAGCAGCAGCAACAACACACTGTCTTTGATCAACTCTACGCTCATGCGAACTCAGCCATCAGTTCAAAACAGTCTGGTTTCTGTAGAGGTGATTCCACTGTCCTTCAACTTAGTCGGATCATGCAGGACATTTATTCTTATCGGGACAGAGGACAATATGTAGGGTTATGCTTCTTTCACTTAGCGAAAGCTTTTGACACCGTGTGGCACAGAGGCCTGATATCTAAGCTCACTGATTCATTTCGTATTGATGGTTTGGCTCTGGAGTGGCTGGCGAATTATCTAACGGACAGGCATCAGATAGTGTCCGTCCTTAATACGCACTCTAAACCCCTTCCTGTTCTTTCTGGCGTTCCGCAGGGCTCCATACTGGGTCCTCTTTTATTTCTACTCTACATCAATGATTTGCCGAGTGTTGTTCCTGATACTTCGTTGTATGCTGATGACACTGCGCTAATCAAATTCTGCGAGTCTCTCCCACAACTCCAAGCCTCCCTCCAACTGGACATTGACGAGGTAGTGGCCTGGATGTGTCGCTGGCACCTGTCGCCAAACCACAGCAAGACAGAGGCAATGATTATTGGATGCGCTTCTCCAGACCCAGTCACCCTGCGTTTCCCAGGATCGTCCAACAGCATCGAACTGGTAAAAACCCACAAACACCTGGGCGTATGTATTGACTCTGCACTTTCCTGGTCAGAGCAAGTTAATGTTTGTCGTCGCACTAGCTCCGCCCTTGGAGCACTCACTTCCCACTGCTCCCACCTCCCTCATAGTTGTAAAATACTTTTCTACCGTTGCTATATTTTGCCTCTGTTTGACTACGCCGACACAGCATGGTGTGGTCTAAATTCAATTTTGTCCACAAAACTTGAAACGCATCATAAAAAGATTATCAAACGGTTATTTGGACTGCCTCAGTTATTCAGCAGTGCCCAATTATATTCTCGGACTGCCTCATCCCCGCTCTGTGAGCGCCGCCAAGCCCACTTATGTACCCTTGCTCATATAATTTATCTCAAACGAATTCCCCAACACTTGGAAAAGTATGACTTGTTCCAGCGAGATAGACCTACTCGAAATCAAGTATCATTGCCTGCTCCTCGTTTATCTTTGTTTCTAAACTCACCTGTGTTTATGGCATATCGATTTTGGCTCTCCCTACGACGTGCTGAGACACTTTCCGCTTTCAACAAGGCTCTTCGTCACTAACGCACCTCTTTTATTTTTTTATTTTTTCATTTTTTTTCAAACAAGTTTTCGTACAACACTCATCAGGAATCGTCGTTGTACTAAAGGACACTGAACTATTATAGAAAATCTAAGTTAGAGAAATAACACTAAGAGCAACAGCAGTGAAATTTACAAGTGTGAATTTTAACAATCAAAGCGAGAAATGAACAAAGGAGAAAGGAAGGAAAGACAACGTGATAACACATAACAGCAGTACATTACACCTAGAACATTAACGGCCAAGCTTGGCCGCACTAAACACGACACGTTACTTGAACAATTTCAACCCAATTATACTATCTTTCTGTACACACAAATTAGCCTTATACAGACGCTGATAGATAGCTTCCAACACTTTTAACTGTAGTCCATAACCATGACGACCACGGCACAATACAGTGAACGAAGAGTCGGAATATGAATTGCAACAATCAGGACTAGCCAACAGATGATTGTACACTGAAGACTTGCTACCACGAAACCTACGCACAACACTAACACTCTCACCGGCACTCTCACCATCACTCCCATCACTGCTCTCCGACTCACTGCTCCCTCCGCCGTCCGTTCCATCCTCCGCTTCCTCTGTACTCTCTATGTCTCGTCCATCCCGCCTGACCGGGTCTATTGAACTCAACTCGGGTTTTATTTGCCTTTTTGCCCTCAGTCCTAGGTTGGTTTCACCCTCACTTCCTTGCATTGGCTATTTTCATTATGTGCCATGAAGTGCAGACAGTAAATCAATAAACAGCAGCAACAACAGCAGCAACAACAACAAAAACAACAGCAGCAGCAACAACAACAGTAGCAGCAGCAGCAGCAGCAGCAACAACAGCAGCCACAACAGCAGTAGCAACAACAGCAACAACAACAGCACAAGCACCAGCAAGAGCAGCCCCAAAAGTAGCAGCAGCAGCAAAAGCAGCAACAACAGCAGCATCAACAGCAGCAATGTAATCAACAGAAAAAGCAGCAATAACAACAACAGCGGCAGCAGCAGCAGCAGAAACAACAGCAGTGGTAGCAACAGAAGAAGCAGCAACAGCAACCGTAGCACTAACAGACACCTCGACCACAGCAGCAACGGTAGCAACATCAATATCAGACATAGCAGCAATACCAACAGCAGCAATAGCAGCAACAGTAGCAACAACAGCAGCAGTAGCAGTAGCAGCAGCAACAGCAGAAGCAGCAACAACAGCAGCAGTAGCAGAAACAGCAGCAGCAACAGCAGGAGTAGCAGCAACAGCAGCAGCAACAGCAACAGCAGCAGCGACAACAGCAGCAACAGCAGCAGCAGCAGCAGCAGCAACAGCAGCAGCAGCAGCAGCAGCAGCAGCAGCAGCAACAACAACAACAACAACAAACCGCAGCAGCAACAGCAGCAGCAGCAGCAGCAGCAACAGCAGCAGCAGCAGCAGCAGCAACAGCAGCAACAGCAGCAGCAGCAACAGCAGGACCAGAAACAGCAGCAATAACAACAGCAACAGCAATAGTAGCAACAGTAGGTATAGTTGCAGATAAAAACAATGTGCAGTCATTTCCCCAGGACAATTATCCAATTCAACATGTTTTGATTATCAGTTTGAACACATCTAAATAGGGAAAGAAGAGAGGGGCAAGATAATGTAGTTAACAATAAGATTATATTTTTCTTCAAGCTGTACCTTTCTGCATTGCAGCAATATCATCCAGGTATGTGTACGTCATCAGAAACCTCACTGATCTGCATACATCTGATTCCTGTTGCCCAGGACCAGAGATGAAGCAGAGGAATAGTACAGCTACTGACAACACCATGAGTCATGATCTCTATCACAGCAGTATCACACTCTCAGCAACTGTACCAGCAACTGCAACTACAACAGAGGGAGAAACAGGAAAATAGCGGAAACAACAACAGCAGCAGCAGCAACAGCAACAGCAATAGCATCCGCAGCAGAAGCAGCATGACCAGCACAGCCAACACCAGCAATAGCAACAGTAGCAGTGTCAAGATCAGCAGCAGCAACAAAGAGACAGACACAACAGTTTGGACAAGCATAGCCACCATTCCTAGCTATCACAAGAAGGAGAGTTTGGAGAGAATGACATGGAGGAGAAGGAATGAAGGCGTACCTAAAGTGCAAACAAAATGTCTCTTTAAACCTTGTGTATAGCTGGACATGCAAATATACACATAGAGGCTTACGTACACTGTAGACAAGAGTGGTGATCTAGATATGCAGTGGTTAAAACTTAGATAACTCACTTTGTAATGGATAGACAACACAGGTAGGAGTATGAGAGTTGTTTGTAACGAGGAGAAGTTGAAGTCAAACTATTATTCCATGCACAATTCTACCATTATACAATGCTATTCCATGTGAATATGGGTGCCGTGTGATGGGGGGGGGGGGGGGGGGGGGGTTGGGGGTGCTAGCAGTGCATGGGTGCCAGTTAATTAAAAAAACGTACAACTCAATTCTGAACCATCCCGACATCCGTCCATCAAGCAACAGATCACTTTGTATATGGAGACCATGGCAGAACAACCCGCTGCAATAAGAGCAACCACGCCGCCACTGCGGATAATACCCCTGAAACAGCAACAGCAGCAGCAACAGCATTAGCGAATGCAGCCGCTCAGCAACAGCAGCAGCAGCTACCGTGTTGGTCTTGCCAGCACAGAAACAGTATAGGTCCTACCAGTACAAAAACAGTATAGGTCTTGCCAGGACAGCAACAGTAGAGGTCTTGCCAGGACAGCAACAGTACAGGTCTTGCCAGCACAGCAGCTACATTAGTTGGCAGCACATCAATAGCTGCAGTAGCACAACCACCAGTATAGAAACACTTGCAGTGGCAGTATCACCAGCAGTAAACGTCATATTCAGAAATGACAGTACATGCCCAGCCGTCTTCAAGTTCCCACCAAAACTACCACAGTGTGGTCATGTGACCGGGGATTATTTTCAAACCAGATCCGTGCTATACTAGTTTAAACCCACCCATATATGGAAACAGGAGACGGGCAAGGGAAAGTAACTGACAAAAAGAAATCCTTAGACACAACCTGTACCTTACTAAGATGCAGCTCTGCCATCCAGATTTCTGCCCATCATCTGAGTACTCGCTGACACACACGTAACGGATCACTGTTCAACACAGCTGACCATGGAGGAAGCAGCAGTAACAGTAGAGACCCTGGCAACGCTATCCGCAATAGACACGATGACAGCACATGAATACACACACAAACACACACACACACACGCACACATACAGAAAAAAGAAGTGACTGCCTTAAACAACATCAACAGCCACAGAAACAACAGAAAAAGCAGCAGTAGCAGTAGAGGTAGGAGGCAGAAATAGCAGCTACAACAGCAACAGGAGCAGCAGCAGCAGCAGCAGCAGCAGCAACAACAGCGAGAAGCAACAGCAGCAACAGCAATAGCAACAGCAGCAGCAAGAGTAACACACAAACACACACACACACCTGTCCTTTCCTATCGAGCCACTGCCACGAGGGTCACGTGGGCCTGGAGTAGCAACGGAGAGTGAAGACAAGAACGCTGTACCACGGCGTCCAGGACACAACAAGAGGTCGCCAGGATTCAGATCACCTAGGACTGTTACCCCAAGACTGAGGTATGGCCGGGGGAGAACCTGAGCAGCGGTGTCTATTCCTGCCCTGGACCGAATGGAAGCAGCGGGCGCAGGACGCACAGTGCACGCCACAACACGCCTCCACTGCGGCTGGGGACTAAGCCACACACTTGTGACGGGCAAGGCCAACACACACACACACATACACACACACACACACACACACACATACACACACACACACACACACACACACACACACACGAGCAGCAACAGTAGCACAGAAAGCACAGCACAGAAAGACAATGGAGTCAGGAGAAATAGCACCACCGGTAGCAATGTCAATGGTTTAATAATACTTCAGAGATTGCCCACTCGTATACATTTTATAAGAAGCTGTATAAGTACAGTTGATGATACTCTTTGACATACCTTGTAGTAGTCACATTCATCTGCTCCACAGCTGCAGAAATAACAGCACGACCGCTCTGCTGTTGATTCGATAACACAAGCATATCTGTAGCAGTGCAACGGGAAAATTCAGCAAGAAAAAAAACAAAACAAAAAGCAGCAACATTCAGTTGCATAAATAGCAGCACCAGCAGCAGTAACAACCGGACAAGCACCATCACCAGCAGCAACAGTAGCAGCAGTAGCAACAGTTGCGGGACCATCACCAGCACCATCACCACCAGCAACAGTAGCAGCAATAGTAGCAGCAACAGTAGCAGCAATACCAGCAGCAGTAGCAGCAATACCAGCAACAGTTGCGGGATCATCGCCATCACCAGCAACAGCACCATCACTAGTAGGAAAAATGACCGGGTCAAGCACTCGTCTGCAGTACAGTACGGCATCATGGAGTCATACGAGGATACAATCAATCACTTCCCTGACAAAAAGTCCGGGATGGGCGCATGGAAAAGACGGGGCGCTCTGGCGGAATTTTACGGTATATACCGGTATGGTGTGTGTTGTGAAATCCTAGCCGGTACAAATTTCATGACCCTACACTACTATAATCACATAATGCATGTCTGACTTGTTAGTATGGTAAAATTAGAATTCTGCAAACACACCGATATTCGCGTCAATAAATTTTCGCCATTTCCTAGAACCAGGGAGTTTACAGTGGATAATGTTCGCAAAGGACTGTGGCCACTTTCATAAACTCACTGTTCAAATTTGACTTCGCTCTGGTTAATCAATATTTACATTAGGGCCGGGTTCCACTGCGGCTCCGCGGCACTTGGCTGCATGCAGCGGAGCAGCGCGGTTCCACTGGCACTCGTCATTCGCGGTACCGCGAAATCAAAAAAAACCTCGTGTTCTGGCCAGCAATGAAATAAAATTAGAATTCTAAAATTCTTGCGTACAAAACAGTGCAAAGTAACGGGAAACAGGTCGAGCCGCGACTGCGGCTCTCAGTTTTTGATCAAGAATCGTAGCAAAAGGTCGCTGTGAGCCGTGGCCTCGCTGCTCCAGCTCGAGCCGCGGTCACTATGGTAGTGATGACGTTTCAACCCGCGGATGATGAGCAGCGGAGCCGCAGTGTAACCTGGCCCTTAGTCTCTTGTCTTGAAAATAGCAAACAATAATGTGTGGTGAATATTCACGGTACAGTTATCAGTAGTAACAAATAGCAGATTATTAACAATAGAAAGTCTACTTACTCACTTTACTCCAGTCTTCTGGCAGATCTACTTGCATTAGAGCGTTCGGCACACAACTACCACCATCTTTGCCCTCCAATCCTGTGATTTTCCCCGGCAGACGAATGCTACGGAATGCCACCGAGAAATCACCTCCTCTGAATCACCAACAACATCAACAATAGCTGCAAGGAAAATAATTGCAGCAACCACAGCAGCAAAAATTGCTTTTTGACGATGGTACAATCGTGAGAATGAAGAGTTCAAATAGCTGCAACAACAGCAAGACTAATAGCACCAACAGTAGAAACAACAGCAGTAAAGAAAATAACAGCAGCAACAGCAAAGAAAATACCAGCAGCAGTAGCAGTAGCTCCAACGACGGCCGCAAGACTAATAGCACCAACAGCAGCAAAAGCAGCAACAACAGCAACAGCAAAAGCAGCAGCAACAGCGACAACAGCAACAGAAACAGCAACAACAACAGCAACAGCAATAGCAGCAGCAACAACAGCAGCAACAACAGCAGCAGCAACAACAACAACAACAGCAGTAGCAAGAACAACAGTAGCAGCAGGAGCAGCAAAGACAGCAGCCACAACAGCAGCACAAGCACCAGCAACAGCAGCCCCAAAAGTAGCAGCAACAGCAGCAAAAGCAGCAAAAACAGCAGCACCAACAGCAGCAATGCAAACAACAGAAACAGCAGCAATAACAACAACAGCGGCAGCAGCAGCAGCAGCAGAAACAACAGCAGTGGTAGCAACAGAAGAAGCAGCAACAGCAGCATCCGTAGCAACAGCAGACACAGCAGCAATAGCAACAACAGCAACAGCAGCAGCAGCAGAAACAACAGCAGTGGTAGCAACAGAAGAAGCAGCAACAGCAACCGTAGCAACAGCAGACACATCGACCACATCAGGGATAAACAGACAAATAGCGGAAACAACAGCAACAGCAGCAAATTGTGGAACAAAAGAAACAACAGCAGCAATAGCATCCGCAGCAGAAGCAGCATGACCAGCACAGCCAACACCAGAAATAGCCGCAGTAGCAGTGTCAAGATCATCATCAGCAGCAGCAGCAACAGAGAGATAGACACAACAGTTTGGATAAGCAGAGCCATCATTCCTTGCTGTCACGAGAAGGAGATTTTGGAGAGAATGCCATGAAAGAGAAGGAATGAATGAGTACGTGAAGTGCAAACAAAATGTCTCTTCCAACCCTGTGTATAGCTGGACATGCAAATATACACATAGAGGCTTACGTACACTGTAGACAAGAGTGGTGATCTAGATATGCAGTGGTTAAAACTTAGATAACTCACTTTCTAATGGATAGACAACACAGGTAGGAGTATGAGAGTTGTTTGTAACGAGGAGAAGTTGAAGTCAAACTATTATTCCCGTAGCTATGCAGAAGACGTTACTTCAGTAACGTTTGGCGCTAGCCAGGGTCCACACAGCTTTAATTTGGTATTTGTGTGTGTGTGTGTTTGTTTGTTTGTTTGTTTGTGTCACGCCTGGCGCTATCCGTATCTGACGGCAAAAAAGCATAGGATGTTATAAGTTATAAATTTTTCAATTCTCCTATTTTTTTCAGGCATATCCTGGGATTCGAACCCGCACTATCGCCCTACATGCATTCCCCCATACACTTCGCATTCATACCCATTCTTCCAAGTTGCTTCACGTTATTATCTTGCGTTTGAAAGCCCTATTTGAATATTGCGGGCAGCTGTATGTGGCCAGCTGTGTTTGGTGGTACGGTACGGTACGGGAGACGGTGTCGTATTACCCTCGATCGTACCTGTCCCGTACCTATCCCCTACCGTACCGTGCCATCAAAGACGGCTGGCCACAATGCATATTCAAATAGGGCTTTCAAATGCAAGATCACAATGTGAAACAACTTGGAAGAATGGGTGTGAATGCGAAGTGTATGGGGGAATGCATGTAGGGTGATAGTGCGGGTTCGAATCCCAGGATATGCCTGAAAAAAATAGGAGAATTGAAAAATGTATAACATCCTATGCTTTTTTGCCATCAGATCACATTGTGAAACAACTTGGAAGAATTAGTATGTATGCGAAGTGTATCGGGGGATGCATGCAGGGCGCGCGATAGTGCGGGATCGAATCCCAGGTTATGTCTTAAAAAAAAGAGGATTTTTTTAAAAGAATTTATAACATCCCTATGCTTTTTTTTGTCTAGGTCATCAAGGCAAAAAAGCATAGCGTAGGGCCCTGAGCTTCCAAACTCTCTCGTTCCATGCACAATTCTCCCATTATACAATGCTATTCCATGTGAATATGGGTGCTGTGTGATGGGGGGGGGGGGGGGGGACGGAGCGGGGCAGGGGTGCTAACAGAACGCGGGTGACAGTTAATTAAAAAAAGTACCTTTCAAATCTGAACCATCCCGGCATCCGTCCATCAACCAACAGATCACTTTGCATATGGAGACCATGGCAGAACAACCCGCTGCAATAAGAACAACTACGCCGCCACTGCTGAAAATACCCCTGAAACAGCAACAGCAGCAGCAACAACAACATTAGCGAAAGCAACAGTACAACAGTAAAGGTCTTGCCAGCACAGCAATAGTACAGGTCTTTCCAGTACAGCAACAGTAAAGGTCTTTCCAGCACAGCAACAGAAAAGGTCTTTCCAGTACAGCAATAGTAGAGGTCCTGCCAGCACAGCAGCTACATTAGTTGGCAGCACATCAATAGCTGCAGTAGCACTACCACCAGTATAGAGACACTTGCAGTGGCAGTATCACCAGCAGTAAACGTCATATTCAGAAATGACAGTACAGGTCGTCCCTCGTTAATACATAATCTCTGGGACTTGACAAATGTTATGTATTAACGGGGTTTATGTACTAAACGAAAGTGTACATAACTTGCTTGTATACCAGAATTTTTCACTTTTTTCAACTTTTCTGAGTGTTTCTTGCTGCCATGACTAGGGAGCGAGATATTCTTGATTCCCTCGATATAACATAACAATTATGCTATAACGGTCACAGTCAGCGACGATTCTACAGTTTACATGATACATGCCCAGCGGCGCCTGTACAGTCACTCGAAAAAACAAGAGCTTTGTCGGTTTGTGATGTGCGCTCTGATTTCTGAGCTAATTGCGTCCACAAGTAGAAACTAGAACACGATGTGCGTCCACTGGAAGGCCAAAAGACCAACAAATTATGTACTATTGAGGTAGGTGGCATGCGGGTACGGAGAAATGTTATGTACTAACGGGGTTTATGTACTAACGAATTATGTACTAACCGACAAAATTTGTATGGAAGTGACCACATTTCGTCCGGGACTTGAGATTTCTTATGTACTAACGGGGTTTATGTACTAACCGGACTCGTATTAACGGGGGACGACCTGTACATGGCCAGCTGTCTTCAAGTTCCCACCAAAACTACCACAGTGTGGTCATGTGACCGGGGATTATTTTCAAACCAGATACGTGCTATACTAGTTTAAACCAACCCATATATGGAAACAGGAGACGGGCAAGGGAAAGTAACTGACAAAAAGAAATCCTTAGACCCAACCTGTACCTTACTAAGATGCAGCTCTGCCATCCAGATTTCTGCCCATCATCTGAGTACTCGCTGACACACACGTCACGGATCATTGTTCAGCACAGCTGACCATGGAGGAAGCAGCAGTAACAATAGAGAGACTGGCAACGCTATCCGAAATATACCCTATGACAGCACGTGAAAACACACACACACACACACACACACACACAGAAAGAGACGTGACTACTGCAGCAAAGTCAACAGGAGCCACAGAAACAGCGGAAACAGTATCAGTAGCAGTAGAGGTAGGAAGCAGAAATAGCAGCAGCAACAATCCATCTGTCTTTATCTCTCTCTAACTCTCCTCCATTCTAACTCTAATCTTTCGTCAAATCTGCACGGCAATCAGCCTCTACTTTCGCCTCAGCATCATGATCTTGATACTGCTATATTTGTACTTGTTTGCGTACTTTTTTGCACTCATATATCTTGGAATAACAAGTTTCCTGGTTTCCTACCCCCCCCCCCCCTCTCTTTCCTACCCTTAGAGTTCTTGCTCTCCTGCTCCCCTCCCCGCCCTTCCACTCCCCATTTTGTTTCCTTTGGTGCACATGTGCAGCTGTGATGCCGAGACCCTTGGTCGGCTGAGCTTCACAGGTCCCACCCACTCCGTCCTGCTGGATATGTACCATTGTGTCGAGTTCTTCTCCTCATTTTAGTTCATCACGCAGTGAGTGTTCAATAGTAAAAAAAAAAAAAAAAAAAAAAAAAAACAGCAACAGCAGCAGCTACAACAGCGAGAGCAACAACAGCAGAAGCAGCACCAACAGCGACAGCAACAGCAGCAACAACAACAGCAACAACCACAGCAGCAACAAAAGCAACAGCAGCAACAGTAGCAGAAACAACAGCGAGAGCAACAACAGCAAAAGCAGAAGCAGCAGCAACAGCAGCAGCAGCAACAGCAACAGCAGCGACAGCAGCAGCACAAACAGCGACAGCAACAGCAGCAGCAACAACAGCAGCAGCAACAACAGCAGCAGCAACAACAGCATAAGCAACAGTAGCAACCTGAGCAGCAGCGAGAGCAACAACAACAACAACAGCAGCGACAGCAACAGCAGCAGCAAAAACAGCCACAGCAACAGCAGCAGCAACAACAGCAGCAGCAACAACAGCATAACCAACAGGAGCAACAGCAGCAGCGAGAGCAACAACAGCAACAGCAAAAACAACGACAGCAACAGCAGCAGCAACAACAGCAGCGGCAACAACAGCATAAGCAACAGCAGCAACAGCAGCAGCGAGAGCAACACCAGCAGAAACAGAAGCAGAAAACAACTGCAGCAGCAGCAACAACAGCAGCAGCAAAAACAGCGACAGCAACAGCAGCAGCAACAACAGCAGCAGCAACAGCAGCAACAGCAGCAGCAACAACAGCGAGAGCAACAACGGCAGAAGCAGAAGCAGCAACAACAGCGACAGCAACAGCAGCAACAGCAACAGCAGCAACAGTAGAAGAAACAACAGCGAGAGCAACAGCAGAAGCAGAAGCAACAGCAGCAGCAGCAACAGCAACAGCTAAAACAGCGACAGCAACAGCAGCAGCAACAACAGCAGCAGCAACAACAGCATAAGCAACAGCAGCAACAGCAGCAGCGAGAGCAACAACAGCAACAGCAAAAACAGCGACAGCAACAGCAGCAACAACAGCAGCAGCAAGAACAGCATAAGCAACAGCAGCAACAGCAGCAGCGAGAGCAACAACAGGAAAAGCAGAAGCAACAACTGAAGCAGCAGCAACAACAGCAGCAGCAACAACAGCAGCAGCAAAAACAGCGACAGCAACAGCAGCAGCAACAACAGCAGCAGCAACAGCAGCAACAGCAGCAGCAACAGCGAGAGCAACAACGGCAGAAGCAGCAACAACAGCGACAGCAACAGCAGCAACAGCAACAGCAGCAACACCAACAGCAGCAACAAAAGCAACAGCAGCAGCAGAAGCAGCAACAACAGCGACAGCAACAGCAGCAACACCAACAGCAGCAACACCAACAGCAGCAACAAAAGCAACAGCAGCAACAACAACAGCAGCAGCAGCGGCGCGGCTGAAGAAGCAGCAACAACAGCGACAGCAACAGCAACAGCAGCAACAGCAACACCAGCAACAGCAACAGCAGCAGCACCAACAGCAGCAACAAAAGCAACAGCAGCAGCAGAAGCAGCAACAGCAGCAACACCAACAGTAGCAGCAACAACAGCAACAAAGTCAAGAGTAACACACACAAACAGACCTGTCCCGTCCTGTCCTATCGAGCCACTGCCACAAGGTCACGTGGGCCCGGAGGAGCAACGGAGAGAGAAGAGGAGAACGCCGTCCCACGGCGTCCAGGACACAACAAGAGGTCGTCAGGATTCAGGTCACCTACGACTGTTACCCCAAGACTGACGTATAACCGGGGGAGAACCTGAGCAAAGGTGTCTATTCCTACCCTGGACCAAACGGAAGCAGCGGCCGCAGGACGCACAGTGCGCGCCACAACACGCCTCCACTGCGGCTGGGGACTGAGCCACACACTTGTGATGGGCAAGGCCAACACACACACACACACACACACACACACACACACACATAATCACATATACACACACACACACACACACACACAGGAGCAGCAACAGTAGCACAGAAAGCACAGCACAGAAAGACAATGGAGTCAGGAGAAATAGCACCACCAGTAGCAATATCAATGGTTTAATAATACTTCAGAGATTGCCCACTCGTATACATTTTATAAGAAGCTGTATAAGTATAGTTGATGATACTCTTTGACATACCTTGTAGTAGTCACATTCATCTGCTACACAGCTGCAGAAATAACAGGACGACCGCTCTGCTGTTGATACGATAACACAAACATATCTGTAGCAGTGCAACGGGAAAATTCAGAAAGAAAAACACAAACAAAAAGCAGCAACATTCAGTTGCATAAATAGCATCACCAGCAGCAGTAACAACAGCACAAGCAGCACCATCACCAGCAGCAACAGTAGCAGCAATACCACACAGCAGTAGCAACAGTTGCGGGACCATCGCCATCGCCAGCAACAGCACCATCACTAGTAAGAAAAATGACCGGGTCGAGCACTCGTCTGCAGTACAGTACGGCATCATGGAGTCACACAAGGATGCAATCAATCACTTCCCTGACAAAAAGTTAGGGAGGGGCGCATGGAAGAGATGGGACGCTCTGGTGGGATTTTACGGTATATACCGGTATGGTGTGTGTTGTGAAATCCTAGCCGGTACAAATTTCATCACCCTACAGTGCTATCATCACATAATACATTTCTGACTTGTTAGTATGGTAAAATTAGAATTCTAGAAACACACCGATATTCGCGTCAATAAATTTTCGACATTTCTTAGAACCAGGGAGTTTACAATGGATAATGTTCGCAAAGGACTGTGGCCACTTTCATAAACTCACTGTTCAAATTTGACTTCTCTCTGGTTAATCAATATTCACATTAGGGCCGGGTTCCACTGCGGCTCCGCGGCTCGGCTGCCCAGCGGCACTTGGCTGCATGCAGCGGAGCAGCGCGGTTCCACTGACACTCATCATTCGCGGTACCGCAAAATCAAAAAACCCTCGTGTTCTGGCCTGGAGCAACGAAATAAAATTTGAATTTTAATATTCTTGCGTACAAAACAGTGCAAAGCACGGGAAACAGGTCGAGCCGCGACCGTGGCTCGCGGGTTTTGATCAAGAATCGTAGCAAAAGGTTGCTGTGAGCCGCGGCCTCGCTGCTCCAGCTCGAGCCGCGGTCACTATGGTAATGATGACGTATCAAGCCGCGGATGATGAGCAGCGGAGCAGCGGAGCCGCAGTGGAACCTGGCCCTTACGCTCTTGTCGTGAAAATAGGAAACAATAATGTGTGGTGAATATTGTACAGTTACCAGTAGTAACAAATAGCAGATTATTAACAATAGAAAGTCTACTTACTCACTTCACTACAGTCTTCTGGCAGATATACTTGCATTAGAGCGTTTGGCACACAACTACCACCATCTTTGCCCTCCAATCCTGTGATTTTCCCCAGCAGACGAATGCTACTGAATGCCACCGAGAAATCACCTCCTCTGAATCACCAACAACAGCAACAACAGCTGCAACGAGAGTAATAGCAGCAACCACATCAGCAACAATTGCATTTTGACGATGGTACCATCGTGAGAATAAAGAACTCAAATAGCTGCAACAACAGCAAGACTAACAGCACCAACAGTAGAAACAGGAGGAGCAAAAATAACAGCAGCAACAACAGCAACAACAACAGATCAAGCACCAGCAACAGCAGCCCCAAAAGTAGCAGCAGCAGCAGCAAAAGCAGCAACAACAGCAGCACCAACAGCAGCAATGCAAACAGCAGAAACAGCAGAACAATAACAACAACAGCGGCAGCAGCAGTAGCAGCAGAAACAACAGCAGTGGTAGCAACAGAAGAAGCACCAACAGCAGCAATGTAAACAGCAGAAACAGCAGCAATAGCAACAACAGCGACAGCAGCAGCAGCAGCAGAAACAACAGCATTGGTAGCAACAGAAGAAGCAGCAACAGCAGTGGTAGCAACAGCAGACACAGCGACCACAGCAGCAACGGTAGCAACAGCAATAGCAGACATAGCAGCAATACCAACAGCAGCAATAGCAGCAACAGCAGCAACAACAGCAAAAACAACAGTAACGGCAGCAACAGCAATAGCAGCAACAGCAGCAACAACAGCAGCAGTAGCAGTAGCAGCAGCACCAGCGGCAGCAGCAACAACAGCAGCAGTAGCAGCAACAGCAGCAACAACAGCAGCAGCAACAGCAGCAGCAACAGCAGCAACAGCAACAACAATAACAGCGGCAACAGCAGCAGCTGCAGCAGCAGGACCAGAAACAGCAGCAATATTAACAGCAACAGCAGCAGCAACAGCAGCAGCAGCAGGACCAGAAACAGCAGCAGCAGCAGCAGGACCAGAAACTGCAGCAATATTAACAGCAACAGCAACAGGAGCAACAGTAGCAATAGTTGCAGATAAAAACAATGTGCAGTCATTTCCCCAGGACAATTATCCAATTCTACCGGTTTTGATTATTAGTTTGAACACATCCAAATAGGGAAAGAAGGGAGGGGCAAGATAATGTAGTTAACCCATTGAACGCTGATGACGTCTATAGACGTCATTGAAAATGCCCCCCATGCGCGGGATGACGTCTATAGACGTCATGGGATATATAGTGATTTCTGGCACTGTCTGGTGTGTAAAAGCACTGTTAGTTTTTTTTTTTGATCCTGCCTCTTGTACGATAGGTTGTTGGTACGAATCCAGCTTGAAAACACTACGCGTCTTTTTTTCTTCTCTTTTCAGCGATCTTTCAGCTGCAATTTCACGCATTTGGCGTATTTCACGCAATTTGAGCAAACTTGCGTCCCCTATTGTGAGGCGCTATTCTTTTTGGGGACTGTATCGATTCTTTCACCCTGTAGTTGATAGTCTTGGCAATCATTTCCAAAATATTTGAGAACCCCAGTTGCCAGAACCCTGGAGTTTTAGAACTTGCTATTGGCCCTGTTTTTAGCATTTTATATGCAGAGTACCATAGGCAAGGCCCAGTAGCGCTGAATGGGTTAACAATAAGATGACATTTTCTACACGCTGTACCTTTCTGCATTGAAGCAATATCATCCAGGTTTGTGTACGTCATCAGAAACGTCACTGATCTGCATACATCTAATTCCTGTTACCCAGGACCAGAGATGAAGCAGAGGAATAGTACAGCTACTGACATCACCATGAGTCATGATCTCTATCACAGCAGCATCACACTGTCAGCAACTCGACCAGCAACTGCAACTGCAACAGAGGAATAAACAGGCAAGCAGCAGAAACAACAACAGCAACAGCAGCAGCAGCTATAGCATCCGCAGCAGCAACAGCAACAGCAACAGCAGCAGCAGCAATAGCATCCGCAGCAGCAGCAGCAATAGCATCCGCAGCAGCAGCAGCAATAGCATCCGCAGCAGAAGCAGCATGATCAGCACAGCCATCACCAGCAATAGCAGCAGTAACAGTGTCAAGATCAGCAGCAGCAGCAACAGAGACAGACACAACAGTTTGAACAAGCAGAGCCACCATTCCTTGCTGTCACGAGAAGTAGAGTTTGGAGAGAATGACAGGAAAGAGAAGGAATGAATGCGTACCTAAAGTGAAAACAAAATGTCCCTTCCAACCCGCGTGTATAGCTGGACATGCAAATACACATAGAGGCTTACGTACACTGTACACAAGAGTGGTGATCTAGATATGCAGTGGTTAAAACTTAGATAACTCACTTTGTAATGGATAGACAACACAGGTAGCAGTATGAGAGTTGTTTGTAACGAGGAGAAGTTGAAGTCAAACTATTATTCCATGCACAATTCTCCCATTATACAATGCTATTCCATGTGAATATGGGTGCCGTGTGATGAGGGGGGGGGGGGGGTGCTAACAGACCAGGGGTGCTAACAGTGCAGGTGTGCTAACAGAACAGGGGTGCTAACAGAACAGGGGTGCTAACAGAACAGGGGTGCTAGTTAATATAAAAAAAGTACCTTTCATTCTGAACCATCCCGGCATCCGTCCATTAGCCAACAGATCACTTTGCATATGGAGACCATGGCAGAACAACCCGCTGCAATATGAGCAACCACGCCGCCACTGTTTATAATCCGCCTGAGACAGCAACAGCATCAGCAACAACAACATTAGCGAAAGCAACAGCACAGCAACAGTACAGGTCTTGCCAGCACAGCAGCTACAATAGTTTCCAGCACATCAATAGCTGCAGTAGCACTATCACCAGTATAGAAACACTTGCACTAGCAGTATCACCAGCAGTAAACGTCACATTCAGAAATGACAGTACATGGCCAGCCGTCTTCAAGTTCTCACCAAAACTACCACAGTGTGGTCATGTGACCGGGGATTATTTTCAAACCAGATCCGGGGTGTACTAGTTTAAACCCACCCATATATGGAAACAGGAGACGGGCAAGGGAAAGTAACTGACAAAAAGAAATCCTTAGACACAACCTGTACCTTACTAAGATGCAGCTCTGCCATCCAGATTTCTGCCCATCATCTGAGTACTCGCTCACACACACGTAACGGATCACTGTTCAGCACAGCTGACCATGGAGAAAGCAGCAGTAACACTAGAGACACTGGCAACGCTATCCGCAATAAACACTATGACAGCACATGAACACATGAACACACACACACACACACACACACACACACACACACACACACACACACACACACACACAGACACACACACACAACTCAGACCTCAGACATGCCCATCGCGGAAGCGATGGTAGCGAACAGCTATGTTAGACATAGCAACTTGTGCTGGGATTACACCATTCAACAGCTTGCAAGGCTGATGAATTTACCACCATTATTTTTAGCCTGGTATCCACCACACAGCTGTTTGAAGCGACTTGTTCTGGCCAGTGAATCCCTATTTTTCATTTTATTTTCACACGCACACACACACACACACACATACAGAAGGAGACGTGACTGCTGCAGCAACACCAACAGCAGCCACAGAAACAGCAGCAGTAGCAGTAGAGGTAGGAGGCAGAATAAGCAGCAGCAACAGCAACAGGAGCAGCAGCAGCAACAGCAACAGCAACAGGAGCAGCAGCAGCAGCAGCAGCAACAGCATGAGCAACAACAGCAGAAGCAGAAGCAGCAGCAAAAACAGCGACAGCAACAGCAGCAGCAACAACAGCAGCAGCAAGAGTAACACACAAACACATACACACCTGTCCTGTCCTGTCCTATCGAGCCACTGCCACAAGGGTCTCGTGGGCCTGGAGTAGCAACGGAGAGAGAAGAGGAGAACGCCGTCCCACGGCGTCCAGGACACAACGAGAGGTCGTCAGGATTCAGGTCACCTAGGACTGTTACCCCAAGACTGAGGTATGGCCGGGGGAGAACCTGAGCAGCGGTGTCTATTCCTGCCCTGGACCGAACGCAAGCAGCGGGTGCAGGACGCACAGTGCGCGCCACAACACGCCTCCACTGCGGCTGGGGACTGAGCCACACACTTATGATGGGCAAGGCCAACACACACACACACACACACACACACACACACACACACACACACACACACACACACACACACATATATACACACACACACAGACACGAGCAGCAACAGTAGCACAGAAAGCACAGCACAGAAAGAAAATGGAGTCAGAAGAAATAGCACCACCAGTAGCAATATCAACGGTTAATCAATATTCACATTAGGGCTGGGTTCCACTGCGGCTCCGCGGCTCGGCTGCTCCGCGGCACTTGGCTGCATGCAGCGGAGCAGCGCGGTTCCACTGACACTCGTCAGCCGCGGTACCACGAATGATGAGCTCCACGGTTAATTTGCTCCACGGTTATTGATGATGTTTTACCTGCCTGCGAAATCAAAAAAACCTCGTGTTCTGGCCTGCGCAACGAAATAAAATTTGAATTTTAAAATTCTTGAGTACAAAACAGTGCAAAGCACAGGAAACAGGTCGAGCCGCGACCGTGGCTCGCAGTTTTTGATCAAGAATCGTAGCAAAAGGTCGCTGTGAGCCGCGGCCTCGCTGCTCCAGCTCGAGCCGCGGTCACTTTGGTAATGACGATGTTTCAAGCCGCGGATGATGAGTAGCAGAGCAGCGGAGCCGCAGTGTAACCTGGCCCTTAGTCTCTTGTCTTGAAAATAGCAAACAATAATGTGTGGTGAATATTGTACAGTTACCAGTAGTAACAAATAGCAGATTATTAACAATAGAAAGTCTACTTACTCACTTCACTACAGTCTTCTGGCAGATATACTTGCATTAGAGCGTTCGGCACACAACTACCACCATCTTTGCCTTCCAATCCTGTGATTTTCCCCGGCAGACGGATGCTACTGAATGCCACCGAGAAATCACCTCCTCTGAATCACCAACAACATCAACAATAGCTGCAACGAGAATATTAGCAGCAACAACAGCAGCAACAATTGCTTATTGGCGATGGTACCATCGTGAGAACAAAGAATTCAAATAGCTGCAACAACATCAAGACTAGTAGCACCAACAGTAGAAACAAGAGCAGCAAAAATAACAGCAGCAGCAGCAACAGCGACAACACCAACAGAAACAGCAACAACAACAACAGCAACAGCAACAGCAGCAGCAACAACAGCAGCAGCAGAAGCAACAACAACAGCAGCAGCAACAACAGCAGCAGCAGCAGCAACAACAGCAGCAAAAACAGCGACAGAAACAGCAGCAGCAACAACAGCAGCAGCAACAACAGCAAAAGCAACAGCGGCAACAGCAGCAGCAACAACAGCGAGAGCAACAACAGCAGAATCAAACGCAGCAACAAAAACAAGAGTAACACACACACCTGTCCTGTCCTGTCCTATCGAGCCACTGCCACAAGGGTCACGTCGGCCCGGAGGAGCAGAGAAGGAGAATGCCGTCCCACGGCGTCCAGGACACAACGAAAGGTCGCCGGGATTCAGGTCACCTACGACTGTTTCCCCGAGACTGAGAGAAGAGGAGAATGCCGTCCCACGGCGTCCGGGACACAACGAGAGGTCGCCGGGATTCAGGTCACCTACGACTGTTTCCCCGAGACATACGTATGGCCGGGGGAGAACCTGAACAGCGGTGTCTATTCCTGCCCTAGACCGAACGAAAGCAGCAGCCGCAGGACGCACAGTGCGCGCCACAACACGGCTCCACTGCGGCTGGGGACTGAGCCACACACTTGTGACGGGCAAGGCCAACACACACACACACACACACACACACACACACACACACACACACACACACACACACACACACACACACACACACACACATACATACACACACACGAGCAGCGACAGCAGCAGCAGCAACAAAAGCAGCAGCAGCAAGAGTAACACACACACACACGAGCAGGAACAGTAGCACAGAAGCACAGCACAGAAAGACAATGGAGTCAGGAGAAATAGTACCACCAGTAGCAATATCAACGGTTTAATAATACTTCAGCGATTGCCCACGCGTATACATTTTACACCAGTCACCTGGTCACCGTGCCTGCAGGGTACAACTTACTAGCCTGTTTGACCTTTCTTGGGTGCAGTCCTGTCACTCGAGTTGAACTCGAGTTGAACCTTGGTGTGAAAGTTGTCGCCTGCTGGCGTAGTGACCAGCCAGCGACTTGGGCACGCAGGAGCACGTGGCCGCTTGTTAAACCATGTTCGATTGGGAATAAAGGAGGAACGCTGCATCGCAGCTTTCTCGGACTAAAACCAGTCGACTCAGCATCCAAAAGACTAAAACATATTGGCTAATCGCGGTCATCCGTGCTTTTATAAGAACGAAATGGCGCTTTTAGTGACATTTTGCATACAAATCCCCATCTAGTAGGGCGCAGCCACCCAGTTTCGGTGGAAGTGCGCGAGTTCGATTGGGATTAAAGTAAGAAGGGAGCGTCTCAGCTTCCTCGGACCACGACCATTCGACTCAGCACCCCGAAGACTACAACTGGTGAAAATTTGATTTTAGACTTAACTTCCCCTTTAATGTGAAAATAGGAAACAATAATGTGTGGTGAATATTGTACAGTTACCAGTAGTAACAAACAGCAGATTATTAACAATAGAAAGTCTACTTACTCACTTCACTACAGTCTTCTGGCAGATATACTTGCATTAGAGCGTTCGGCACACAACTACCACCATCTATGCCCTCCAATCCTGTGATTTTCCCCGGCAGGCGAATGCTACTGAATGCCACTCAGCTTCGCTTCATGACCGCGGAGGAATAACAGAGAACAGCCAGTACGCTGAGATCTCTGAAAATCTTTCACTGAAAGAAAAAACGGAGAAACAGACACGAGAACAAACCAGGTAATGAGTAACAGAAACACAAAATAAAATTTAATAAATTATATCTTGCAAGAGCCATTCATATGAAATCACAATAACTGTATTGCAACACACAAACCAGAAAACACCGCACAGACTTAATTCAAGGAGAAACAAGTAACGGAGTCTTGGTGTGCTAATCAGCACACACATGATACCAGGAAACATGAAACAGCGCAGTACAGCACAGTGCAGCACAGCACAATGCAGCACAGCACAATGCAGCACAGCACAATGCAGCACAGTGCAGCACAGCACAATGCAGCACAGTACAGCACAGCACAGTACAGCACAGTGCAGCACAGTGCAGCACAGTACAGTACAGTACAGCACAGTACAGCACAGTACAGTACAGTGCAGCACAGTACAGCACAGTACAGTACAGTACAGTACAGTACAGCTCAGTACAGTGCAGTACAGTACAGCACAGTACAGTACAGTACAGCACAGTACAGTACAGTGCAGTACAGCACAGTACAGCACAGTGCAGCACAGTACAGTACAGTACAGTACAGTACAGCACAGTACAGTACAGCACAGTACAGCACAGTACAGCACAGTGCAGCACAGCACAGTACAGTACAGCACAGTACAGAACAGTACAGCACAGTGCAGCACAGTACAGCACAGTGCAGTACAGTACAATGCAGCACAGCTCTGCATAGCACAGCCCAGCACAATGCAGCACGATGCAAGCTGCAACACCATACACAATACAAAGACCAACACAGTGCAGCAAATCATTACTTATGCCTAGTCCACACTAGCCCGATTTTCGGCTGCCATGGACTTGCACAGAAATCTGTAAAGATCGGTGCGAAAAAAAAACTCTAGTGCTGACGATGTTGTCGTACAAGTTTCCGACATATCTGGGACGAGTTTCTTGTTGCGTGCGCTTTCGGCTAGGCTGATAACAAAAGTTGGCCAATAGTGCTTGCATGTAGTGGATCAAACGGGCCTCCAACCAATCACGGCTTTTCACCATGACAACAGAGAGCCTGGGTGCAGACGGTGAACTGGCTGCACTGGATCTCTACTACATGCAGATGTAGATGTGTCAGCCTTTTCACAACTCTGACCATGTACTGCATGTAGCTAGTGTCAAAACGTGTATTTTTTCAATGCCTGGTGTCTTCAAGGCAAGGGTCTAGCTCGGCTGTGTATCACGTGTACGTATACGTGTGTGAGCTGACAGGCCTTCAACTAGTACAAGCAAAATTGCTCACCGTTGCGTGTGAACAGCTAGTCCGACTCATCCGACGCAGTCGACCGTTTCATGTCGGAGTCGGTGATGGAGCATGGACCAAAAAATCGGCCTAGTGTGAACCAGTCATAAATATACAACTCTGCAACTGTAATGCAACACACAACAAACTAACCTCTTTTCACTCTCCAGTCACGTGGCTGGTGAGCCCGATCAACGTCAGTGCGTAACATCCGTACCACCAGTTTCTGCTCCAATGTCCAATAAACTCACTGAACTCAGAACATAATTATCTCATTATATACGGTACTCAAACTAAAAATAATTCTGACACATTATGATGTCATAGTCATGTCACAATGACGTCTGGTGATGTCATAGTCAGGCTACCACATAGCCGTGGCCTGAGTGCGAGGAATCGCCGAGGATGATGAAGCGACACCATAGTTATTATGACATCATAGGCATGTGATGTCACAGGCATAAAATACCATAGTCAAGTGATGGAATAGAAATGTGAAAACTGCCACAAAAATGTGAAATGGTGAGAGAGTGTTCTTAAAAATAAAGTATTTCATCGCATGATCACATGTTCATCTTATGAATACAATGTGCTGAACCACCATTGGGGCTCCCGGACAGACAAGCCACCAACTTCTACTGAACGAGCAGGCTTCCGCACAGCAGGTGTGTGTGGCAAGTGTTTCCACCAACAGACACAACTGCAGTGTTATATATCGTCCTGTCCCACTCTCCCTCTCTTCCTCAACTTCCCTGATCAGTACCATGTACAGTAGTAACCATTCCAGCAGTGGTTCAACATGACATCACATGACCACCAGCAGTGGTTCAACATGACATCACATGACCACCAGCAGTGGTTCAACATGACATCACATGACCACCAGCAGTGGTTCAACATGACATCACATGACCACCAGCAGTGGTTCAACATGACATCACATGACCACCAGCAGTGGTTCAACATGACATCACATGACCACCAGCAGTGGTTCAACATGACATCACATGACCACCAGCAGTGGTTCAACATGACATCACATGACCACCAGCAGTGGTTCAACATGACATCACATGACCACCAGCAGTGGTTCAACATGACATCACATGACCACCAGCAGTGGTTCAACATGACATCACATGACCACCAGCAGTGGTTCAACATGACATCACATGACCACCAGCAGTGGTTCAACATGACATCACATGACCACCAGCAGTGGTTCAACATGACATCACATGACCACCAGCAGTGGTTCAACATGACATCACATGACCACCAGCAGTGGTTCAACATGACATCACATGACCACCAGCAGTGGTTCAACATGACATCACATGACCAGTGTACTATAGAAATAATGTTCATCTCTGTGTCTAGTGTTTACATGTCTGACAAGCGATAGCATTCCTTCCACTGCGCATATACACGTTATCTTCACTGTTGGTTATACCGAATAATGTCATCGCGAATCAATCCTTAGTCGACCTGCTCTCTCGCGATGAACATAGTGAAGTAATCTCCATAGCTGATCATTCACTAACTCTCGCTTTGGTACTGAAAGGTACACGAGGTTTTGACATCCATGTACAGCTGATGCAAACTGCAAGCTGCCCTCGTCATTCTCCGCTTGAAAGTCATTCCCATCCAGACCAACAAGTTGGAGATCAGGACAAGAAGACACAATTTCAGCGAGTACCGGAAGTGACTGTGATGTAAGGCCTGTTTCTGAGAGGAAAAGGGAGATCAGTGATGTACACTGCTTCACACATGGTGCAATGCTGCACAGAAACATGTCAGAAAGATCATTGTTGCTCAAGTTAAGCTGTGAAAGGTACTGAGATTGCACACGAAGAACGTGTTTGACAACTCCAGTGCTGTGTGGCATGAGCATCGCATGCACCAAGTACATGACACGAAATGGCCGTGCTGTCAGCAGTCCAGAAAGCAGAACAAGACCATCATCACCGATCGGGAAGTAAAACTGGGGACCTGTAAGAGACTTACAGTAAGCCAGCACGGTGAGAGCTATGAGAACATTAGTTTTGATATCCTGACAGGACACACTACCTATTTGCAGGTTTTTCAGGTTATGACATGTGATCACTGCGGGTACCAGCTGAGCATAGCCAGATGATGTCAGCTGCAAATCCTTTAAGGAAAGTCCTTGAAGAGCTGTGTGGTTTTCACAGATAACACTATGGATACGTGCCACAGAACGGTCAGTCAGTGCATTGTTTGGGAGAGAGAACTCAGCCAGCCCATGACAATGAGTTAGACCAGTAGTGAGTTGCTCAAAACCATCATCAGTAATCTGACAGTTTGGCAGACGCACACGACTAACAGACCTACTGTGATTCCTCAGTACAGACGAAAGAAGATGACAGTCAGCAGGCGAGATAGCCACGTTTAGGAAATCAAAGCCATAATGTTCGAAGGCTAGTTCTAGACTAGGTGAAGGTGACTGACTACAGCTGGTCGTGTTGTCTGTGTCTGCACTGGGCTGTGCATACACACGACAAGCCAGTAACAACAATTGGCGGCGAACTGGAGTTAAATTTTCACGTATCCGGTCAGCTGACGATGCCGACTTCGTTGGTGGAACAGTCATCACAGAATGCACAGAGCTGTCTGTCGCAGCTGAAAAAAGACGTTCTGCAGCCTGTGAGTCTTCCGTGCGTTTCGATACAAGATACTGGTGGAGACAGTTGGATGCATGCGGGTTGATAGACTTCAAGGCAGTGCACAGTATTCTCATACTGGCACGGGGGACTTTGCGACGCCACAGCTGCAAAAGAGCATGAACTACGTCGTACAAAGACAACGAAAAAGAGTGAGGAAGAACTTCTTCAATGGCCTGTGCCACACTCACATTGTCTGGCAGTAGATCTTTAAGAAGACACCTTGCTAAACTCTGCACTGCTGCTTCATCAAGATGCCCACATAGCAACTCTACCACCTCAAGAAGATCATCTTCGGAGCAGCGAAGAAACTTTGTCACATCGCAACATGATGTCAGCTTGTTCACATCCTCTTTATCAGGGATACGCTGTGTGAGAATGGATGCAATCAACGACTCTCTGCTGACCGCTGTCAGTTGTGATGCAAGAAGACACCAAAATGTACTCAAGTGACCCGTCAGAGCTCCTACTTGCCTCACCAAATATTCTACATCACTGGCATCAGGATTAGTGGATGCCATGTAAAGAGAAGCAAGACATTCTTGCACTGAAAGATGGCTGAATTGCCATTGAGTGATGGACGGGTATGACAGTGACTCACAAGCTACAAGAACACCAAGTGATCGACTTTCTCTAGAAACCTGCTCTGCATCTAGATCAGAATCACTGAACACTACTTTCTTTTTCATTAACGATACAAAAGCAAAATGACCCAACTCAAGAATTTGCTCCTGCAGCAAGCGTGGCACAGACACCCAGTCTGGATACGCACTCTCAGTGTTCTGTCGAATCATACTCAGTATCAACGACATGAAGATACCAAACAGTGATGAAGGTACAGAGCCACAACTACGAAACACATCACACGTCGACTGTGTGAAGTAAGGTGTTTGCATAATAGCTGAGAGGCTGGGATCAGCATCCACCTTCTCTAGTAGCCTGCTAGCCTCTGTGCATGGGAGAGCATTGTTCACATAATCGCGAACATTGCCTTTGGTGAAACCCAGTACTTCAACCCGCCTATCAAATGGACA